TGGGAATGAAGGGGGTAGGGAGAGGGAGGGAGTGGTGAGCAGGAAAGGAGGGGGAGTAAGGGAGGGGGAAGGGGATGGTGGGTAGTGGGTGAGCAGTAGGGAGAGGGAAGGAGTTGTGAGCAGCAGGGGAGGGGGAGGGAGTGGTCTCGTTGGTGCGCATCGTCGACGCGTCATCGCGTCGTGTCGTCATCCTCGCATGTTGTCGTCCTCGTTGGCATCGTGTCCACTGGGTGTTGCGTTGTGGGCGTTAGGCGTCGTTTCGTGGGCGCTGGGCGTCGTTTCGTGGGCGCTGTGGTGTTTTCGTGGGCGCCGTGGTGTTTTTGTTGGCACTGTGGTGTTTTCATGGGTGTTCGTGGTGTTTTTGTGGGTGTTCATGGTGTTTTTGTGGGTGTTATGGTGTTTTCGTGGGCAGTGGGTGGTCGTTACGTGGGTTGTGAGATGCAGGTGACGAACGATGTCAATGTCGTCATCGTCGTTGGCGTTGCAGCATGTGTGGTCGTTGTGGGCACTTGTGGATGGTGGTGGGTTCGTTGTGTTGTCATCATTGTGACGTGGTGTTGCGGCATTTGCGTGGTCATCATGGTGGGCGCTCGTGGATGGTGGTGGGTGCTCGTGGATGGTGGTGGTGTTGTTGTTGTTGTCCGTTTGGCTGCCACGTCACTGGCGGTGGTCGTTGCCGTTCGTTGCTGGGTGGTCGTTGCCGTTGTGGAGTCGTTGTCGTTGTGGGTTGGCGTGGTGTTGTCAGTTTATCGTGGCTGTCGTGGGGGTGGGGAAGAGGATGGTTGATGGTGGTGGAAAGGCATGGTCTTGAATTTGTTTGGTAACATTGCCTTTGTTTGGTAACAGAAGTAAAACAAACAAACAAAGGACCGGATTCCGTTGCATTCCGTTCCTGTGCATTCCACGGATCATTCTGGTGTCAATTCCGGAATGCCCAAATTCCGCCGGAATGGTAAGGCACCGGAATGGTGAAAATAGCAGGCCTCCCTGCCAAATTTCATTCCTCCGGAATCACCAGATTCCTGCAGGAATTAGGGGGGCACTGATAAGACCTCCAGTGGATTGGCCAGGAAGGAAGCTGGCAAACTGCTTGCAAGACCAGAATACTTTAGTAAGATGCCTCAAGACTTAGTAGAGACTGCTGCATATTTGCACAACCGAGCCTACAAGGATCGTCCTATCCCTAAAGCATTCTCCGTACATCGATCCCATGATGCTCAACCGACAGATAGACCTGACTCTGTCTCATCTAGAGAGTCTATGATTCCTACAACAGAACCTGAACCTGTGCGTATCCCTGCAGCAAGTGAAAATCAACAGCCTATACAGCTACATTTAACCATTAAATGAGGTAGTTGCCCTTCATTGTGATGGATCAGAGTGGGCTATAGCCCAGGTGGGCAGCCCACCATCACTGTGGCCTATAGTGGCTGTAGAGGCTTGCTGCTTGCGATAATGAGCTTAGGGTGTTGGTCACTGTTGGTGACGACGTTGGGGGTGGTTTTCAGGGTCCAGGGTGCATTTCCAAATAAGGAAATGTGCGCTTTTTCACATGTAAAATAGCAATAAAATCAGGAAAAATTAGGGGTGGTGCTCACTGTTGGGGGATGATGTTGGAGGTTGTTTTCAGGGTCCAGGGTGCATTTCCAAATATGGTAATATAGCTAAAAATAGCCACAAAATAACCAAAAAAATCAGAAAAAAATGGGGGTGGTGCTTGCTGTTGATGATGACATCTGGGGTTGTTTTCAGGGTCCAGGGCATATGTCCAAATATGGTAATATAGCCAAAAATAGCCAGAAAATAGCCAAAAAATCCGAAACAAAGGGGGGATGGCGCTCATTGCTGATTATGTTGGGTAATGTTGTCAGGGTCCAATATGGCTGAAGGATTGACATGACTTTACATATTGCTATTGCCACATCACCACTTTTTGACATTATGACCAAGTTGCCTTTCACATCAGGACAGGCTATTCTCTGCTTTCACACATGAATGGCCTCTTCTAGCTTGAAAGTGAACTTGGGCATGCAATTCTTCAGCAATATCCACATGACCTTATAACTATGTTTTGCATTCATGTGTGAAAGCAGAGAATAGCCTGTCCTGATGTGAAAGGCAACTTGGTCATAATGTCAAAAAGTGGTGATGTGACAATAGCAATATGTAAAGTCATGTCAATCCTTCAGCCATATCCCCACATGAACTTATAATAATTATGTTTTGAAATAGGACAGTAGGTTAGCCTTTCAATGTAAAAGACAGGTTGTGCATGATGTCAAAAACTAATGCAGCAGAACTGGCACTATGTAAATGAGATCATGTTAATCCTTCAACCTCATCCCCATAACCTAGACAGAGCCAAGGACACCATAAACTACATGTCAACTACAAACTCTTGTATTCTCAAAAAGCAGACACTGCAAACTTTTCTAATGAAAAAGCGCACACTACAAACTCTTGTAGTCTCAAAAAGCGGACACTACAAACTTTTCTGATGAAAAAGCGCACACTACAAACTTTTTCTAATGAAAATGCACACACTTTGTGGTCAAAAAAAGTGGAGACTACAAACTTTCAAAATGGAAAAGTGCACACCAAACTTTTGTAGTCCCAAAAGGCAGACACTACAAACTTTGTAGTCTGGATATGCTTTTAACCCTAACCCTAACTTTGTAGTCTATCAGTAAACCTTGTAGTCTAAGTCTGACTTTTGTAGTCTTTTGTACTGTATCAGTAAACTTTGTAGTCTCAGTCCAACTTTTGTAGTCTATCAGTAAAATTTGTAGTCTAAGTCCAACTTTTGTAGTCTTATGTAGTTTATCAGTAAAATTTGTAGTCTAAGTCCAGCTTTTGTAGTCTATCAGTAAACCTTGTAGTCTAAGTCCGACTTTTGTAGTCATTTGTAGTCTATCAGTAAACTTTGTAGTCTATGGTAGACCATTATAGTCTGTCAGTGTCAATTTCTTTTCTAGGGCATGCACCTTCTATTTTTGGTCATTTTTCCCATGATACAACAATTGTAGCCCTTTCTTTTAGCTTTCTAAATATACTGAAATCATGTTGTTTGGTTTGGTTTTCATGGAGAAAAACACAAAAAACAAAAAATAAAAACATGACACTTTTGAAATTTCTTCACCTCATATCTCCATAACAGGAGCACTTCAGAATATAATTCAAACAGATTTGGGAAGCTACAGTGTAGGGCTACAACTTTGGTTTTTGACCATTTTTGGTAATTGGTCATGTGACCATCATCCCAACATCCCATTACATGAACCCTGATAGGTAACAACATTCTCCTCTTAATTTTCTTCACTTTTGGTCAAACCAGGTGATGTTTCCTCTTTGGGATGGACCCTGAAGTGGACCCTGAAGGCAGTGCCTGATGTTCTGTGCACCATTTATATCTTTTTCCAATTTTTTGGCTATTTTCTAGCTATTTTTGGATATATTACCATATTTGGAACTGGACCCTGGACCTGACAACATTACCCAACATAATCAGCAATGAGCACCATCCCCCCTTTGTTTCGGATTTTTTGGCTATTTTCTGGCTATTTTACCATATTTGGAACTGGACCCTGGACCCTGACAACATTACCCAACATAATCAGCAATGAGCACCATCCCCCCTTTGTTTCGGATTTTTTGGCTATTTTCTGGCTATATTACCATATTTGGACATATGCCCTGGACCCTGAAAACAACCCCAGATGTCATCATCAACAGCAAGCACCACCCCCATTTTTTTCTGATTTTTTTGGTTATTTTGTGGCTATTTTTAGCTATATTACCATATTTGGAAATGCACCCTGGACCCTGAAAACAACCTCCAACATCATCCCCCAACAGTGAGCACCACCCCTAATTTTTCCTGATTTTATTGCTATTTTACATGTGAAAAAGCGCACATTTCCTTATTTGGAAATGCACCCTGGACCCTGAAAACCACCCCCAACGTCGTCACCAACAGTGACCAACACCCTAAGCTCATTATCGCAAGCAGCAAGCCTCTACAGCCACTATAGGCCACAGTGATGGTGGGCTGCCCACCTGGGCTATAGCCCACTCTGATCCATCATAATGAAGGGCAACTCACTGTATATGATAGATCAAAGTAGCCTATACAGGTGAAATCAAGGCATCAGATTCGCTGCTGAACCTCCCATACCAACTTCCATATCTGTCCTTCTATCCAAAAAGCATGCGGTGACGTGGTTGCCAGGTGCTGGTATGATAGGAGTTTCCGCTGCAAGGACCTCCTTGATCAAGTCCATGACCACGAACAATGCTCCGGAAACAGTTGCCTCCAGCATCAACAACAATCACCTTAGGGTGCCTGCCGCGTTTACTTCGCGCATACCAAGCCCTAAATCATGGACTAGCTATACCTTTAAACAAAGAAGCAACCCTACCAGAGCTCAGCCACTATCCCGAGCGAATGATAGCGGTGATGATCACCAAGGAACCCCTGCTCCTTGTAACTATGGTCCTCCTCCCGGAGGATCTCCCCCTTCCAGCAACAACTATGGCCACGGAGGAGGTCCTAACTCTAATCCCAGTGGACCGACTGGTGGCTACCACTTTTATCATTAAACATGGACCTATGTCCATGGCCATTCATACGAACTGCCACAAAGTTTATGAGAGGCATTTCATTAGGATGTCCTATTGATTTCATTCATGTAATTGTCTGAGCTTTTCATAAACTATGGGGAGGTTTTGAGATATATTTCATAAGTCTTCATACTGGTTTCATTACTGATCTCATATCTCTTCCCTGGTGATTTCATTGTGCATTTCATTAGAATGTCCAGGGTATTTCATTGCACTTTCATTAGAATGTCCAGGGTATTTCATTTCACTTTCATTAGATTGTCCAGTGCATTTCATTGCCCTTTCATTGAATATTTCATTAGAATGACCAGGATATTTCATTGCACTTTCATTGTGCATTTCATTAGAATGTCCAGGGTATTTCATTGTGCTTTCATTGAGATGTCCAGGATATTTCATTAGGCTTTCATTAGAATGTCCAGGGTATTTCATTGCACTTTCATTAGAATATCCAGGGTATTTCATTTCACTTTCATTAGATTGTCCAGTGCATTTCATTGCCCTTTCATTGTGCATTTCATTAGAATGTCCAGGGTATTTCATTGCCCTTTCATTGAGATGTCCAGGATATTTCATTAGGTTTTCATTAGAATGTCCAGGATATTTCATTGTGGTTTCATTAGAATGTCCAGGATATTTCATTGCACTTTCATTAAATTGTCCAGGGCATTCATTTCATTGAATATTTCATTAGAATGACCAGGATATTTCATTGTGTTTTCATTGTGCATGCCATTAGAATGTCTGGGGTATTTCATTATGCTTTCATTGAATGTTTCATTAGAATATCCAGGGTATTTCATTGCACTTTCATTAGAATGTCCAGTGTATTTCATTGCACATTTTATTAGAATGTACAGGGTATTTCATTGTTGATACATGATGGGCTCTTGGGAGGGTGGTCACATGACCAACTTCCCAAAATGGTCAAAAAAAGAAAGTTGTAGCCTTGCAATGTAGCTTGCTGAATCTGTTTGAATTATGTTCAAAAGTGTTCCTGTTGTGGAGATATGAGATAAATGATTTTCAAAAGCACAGTGTTTTTTTCTTCTTTTTGCATTTTTCTCCATGAAAACAACACCAAACAACATAATTTCAACACCTTTAACAGTACTTTACCATCCCCCACATAATCCACATGGACTCCACTGGATTCCACTGGATTCCACTGGACTTCACTACATATTGGCAATATCCACAAATCTGGACTCCACTGGACTCCCAGCACAAATCTGGACTCCACTGGACTGCAAGGACAAATCTGGACTGGACTAGACTGGACTGGACTGCAAATCACAAAACTGGACTCCACTGGACTCTCCCAACACAAATCTGGACTGGACTGGACTGCCACAGACCTAAGTTAATCCAGAATTCCTGAACTTGGACTTCAAAACAAAAAATAAAATTGAAGTATATTTATTAATTAAATTAATTAAATTTACTGACTCTATGTTAGAGAGGAGGGAGGGAGGGGGAAGGGAAAGGGAAAGGGAGGGGGAAGAGAGGAATAGAGGGGGGAGGGAGCAAGGAAGGGGGAAGGAAAGGGAGGGGGGGAGAGAGGAGCAAGAGCAAGGAAAGGGGGAGGGGGGAAAGGGGGGAGGGAGTGGAGGGGAGTGGGAGTGGTGAAGAGAGGAGGTAGCAATGGGGGGAGAGAGTGGAGGGGAAGGGTGGTGCTGCTGGGCACTTGTCGCTGTTCCACACTGGTGTCAGCGGTGGTGGGCGCTCAGCGTTTTTCATGGGTGTATCGTTTTTCGGGTGTGGTGGGGGTGGGGTTTTCGTGGGCGCTCATTCATCGTCATCATGTGTCATCATTGTTGTTGCGTGTCGTTGTCATTGTCGTGTGTCGTCGTTGTCGTCATGTGTCGTCATTGTCATATGTTGTCATCCTGGCGTGTAGTCATCATCGTCGTCCTCGCGTATTGTTGTCGTCCTCGTGTATTGTTGTCGTCCTCGTGTGTCGTCATCCTCGTGTGTCGTTGTTGTTGTTGTGTCGTTGTCGTCCTCCTCGTGTGTCGTTGTTGTTGTTGTGTGTCGTTGTTGTCATGTGTCGTTGTCATTGTCGTCCTCCTCGTGTGTCGTTGTCGTTGTCGCGTGCCGCTGGTGCCTGTCATGGTGAGAATGGGGCATTGGGGTGGTGGGGCATACATACCCTTGGCCCATGATGTGGCAACATCATGGGCGCCGTCCTTCGTTCTTGGCCTGTCCTTCCACGTTGGCATGGGTGTCGTTGGCATGGGCATGGGTGTCGTTGGCGTGGGCGGCATTGGCGTGGGTGGTGTTAGAGGGGAGTGGTGAAGGGTGGTGGTGGTGGAAGGGAATGGGATGGTCATGGAAGTGTGACCATGCCGCAAACATGAGACGTGACGATATGGCACGCTCTCAAGTAAGTCACATGACCTCACCCTGCAGACTGAACAAAATCATGAATCCTTATTGCAGCTATCACTGACCCACACTATATGTAAATTATAACTGTTCCATTCATTGATCAATTAGTCTATTTTCGCTTTTTTAGTAGTATTCATATATAATAACAATAATATACTGGAATGACTGGAATCCACTGGACTCCACTGGACTCTGACTGGACTCATAGTCCACTGGACTGGACTGGGCATTCTGCCAGCCAATCTGGCTTGGTAAGAGGGCCAACGGATGTCGGCAGAAAAGCGCCTGTCCCAAGACTGGAAGAATTGCCACCCTTGAGGAAACCCTCTCAGCCCAATCCCCCGCCCGATGATGACAGCGACAGCGACAACGATTACTATCCAGACGAGGGTGATCAAGCCCCTCCAGTGTTGAGCGTGACAATCAACGCAGACATATCATCTGTGAGTGTGACTACCACGCCCGCTGCTCAAATCACAGGGATTGAACCCACTGTGCAAGCTATCGAGATACAGCCTGCTGCCATAGGCGCGACTTCAGGAGTGGGGGAAGCCACCACCGAACCTGCTTCCATTGATCCAAACCTATCTCTCCCTAAGACAAATCAGATGCAGGAGGATGATGAGATTTCATGGGGAGACGACGAGCATAACCACGATGCTATGGGTCCACAGATCCCTCCACTCACCTTTACGGTGGATTCAGAAATCAATATGGAAGCCGTCACTCCAGCAGATCCCTTAGAGTTTGCCTCTTCCTTCTTAATGCTTTATGGAATACTCACATCGGAAGAATTTCCCGTTATCCAGGACATGATAATGTCAATCGTGACACACCTTTGCTTGACAGTCAGGCAAATATTCCGAGTTAGCGCCGACCGAAATCAAAGTTTCTGGTTCGAGATGGAATCCATGGAGCAGGCTCACCAAACGAGGACTCATATCCATCATAAGCAAGAGAATGGGATAGAATTACGAGTCGCCTACGCTGATTATGAACACTACATGGAAGCTCTCGCCTGCGCTTCCCATAGATGGCCAGACACTCTCTCCAACAACGGAAGTCAAGGTCCGTCCTCGCTCCAATCGGTAGCTCTGGCGGTGAGCTCTTCTTCTCAAAGATGGAGCAGTGTGGAACATCATCAAATGCACGACCAGCATCGTCGATCCCCTTCGATGGAACACTACAGAGTTAATAGAAGGCTTTCACCCCTCCCTCGGTGACAATCCCCTTCCCATTCCACCTACCGTAGAAGGTATCAATGATCCCCATCACCTCGTTGTCATGCTCGTTCTCCATATTGTCATTCCAGGTCGCGTGGACCTTGATCATATCGACCTCCTGGGGAGCTAACTATGCGACCTTCAAGGGAGCAGGAGAACGCTAGTCCTTTAACCCTCCGAAACTCCAATGCTGATGCAATGATCCACATTCCCCCTCTGCCAGTACTTCCAGGCATGCCAGCTTTCGCCGGACTACCACACAATGCCCTGCTGCCTTTTGGTGCGAATGTTGCTTTTATGTGGTCCCCCTCTGGTAATACCTTTAGCCCCGTCCTTCTGCAAGGAAACACGACTGTGCTGCCTTATCCAATAGCACCTACAAGACCAACTCCAAGTGCCCTGCTGCCTGAGCCAGTAGCCACAGTGTTGCAGTACTTTACCATCCCCCACATAATCCACATGGACTCCACGGGATTCCACTGGATTCCACTGGACTTCACTACATACTGGCAATATCCACAAATCTGGACTCCACTGGACTCCCAGCACAAAACTGGACTCCACTGGACTGCAAGCACAAAACTGGACTGGACTGGACTGCAAATCACAAAACTGGACTGGACTGGACTCCACTGGACTCTCCCAACACAAAACTGGACTGGACTGGACTGCCACAGAGCTAAGTTAATCCAGAATTCCTCTTCAAAACAAAAAAAAAAATTGAAGTATATTCATTAATTAAATTAATTAAATGTACATAGATTCTATGTTACAGAGGGGGGAGGGAGGGGGAAGGGAAAGGGAAAGGGAGGGGAAAGGGAAAGGGAGGGGAAAGGGAAAGGGAGGGGGAAGAGAGGAATGAATAGAGGGGGGAGGGAGCAAGGAAGGGGGAAGGAAAGGGAGGGGGGGAGAGAGGAGCAAGGAAAGGGGGAGGGGGGAAAGGGGGGGAGACTGAAGGGGGGAGAGACTGAAGGGGGGAGAGACTGAAGGGGGGAGAGACTGAAGGGGGGAGAGTGTGAAGGGGGGAGGGAGTGGAAGGGAGTGGGAGTGGTGAAGAGAGGAGGTAGTGATGGGGGGAGAGAGTGGAGGGGAAGGGTGATGCTGCTGGGCCCTCGTCGCCGTTCAGCGATTGTCGTTTTTTGTGGGTGTATCGTTTTTCGGGTGTGGTGGGGGCGGCGTTTTCGTCGGCGCTCGTTCGTCATTGTCGTCGTGTGTCGTCGTCCTGGCGTGTCGTTGTCATTGTCGTCACATGTCGTTGTCGTGTGTCGTCGTCCCGGCGTGTAGTAGTCATTGTCGTTGTCATCGTGTGTCGTCGTCCTCGCATGTCGTCGTCGTTTTTGTGGGCGGTGGCTGTTTTCCGTGGGCGCTCGTTCATGTGGTCAGCTTCGCATATTGTTGTCATCGTGCTTGCGTGTCGTCGTGCTCGCATTTCGTCGTGCTCGCGTGTCGTCGTCGTGCTCACGTGTCGTTGTTGTCGCCGTCCTCATGTGTCGTGCATGGGTGGTTGCTGGCGTCGTGTCTGTCGTGGTGAGAACGGAGGAACGGGGTGGTGGGGCATACGTACCCCTTGCCCATGACGTTGCCACGTCATGGGTGTTGTCCCTCGTCCTTGGTCCATCGTTCCACGCTGGGGGTGTTGTTGTCGTTAGCGTGGGCGTCGTGTGCATCGTTAGCATGGGCATGGGCGTGGGCATCGTGTGCGTCGTTAGCGCAGGCGTGGGCGGCGTTGAGATGTGAGGTGGTGGTGGTGGAAGGGAAAGGGATGGTCACGGCAGTGTGACCATCCCACAAACAGGCGACGTGACAATATGGCATGCCCTCAAGTAAGTCACGTGACCTCACCCCGCAGACTGAACAAAATCATGAATCCTTATTGCAGCTATCACTGACCCACACTATATGTGAATTATAATCTTTCCATTCATTGATTAATAAAATTGTAGATACAGCTTGTGTATTGTATAGTCCATTTTCGCTTTTTTAGGTATATTCATATATAATAATAATAATATACTGGAATGACTGGAATCCACTGGAATCCACTGGACTCCACTGGACTCTGACTGGACTCATAGTCCACTGGACTGGGACTGGACTCAGGAAAGTGGCTGGCAGTCCAGTGGGAGTCCAGTGGACTGGACTGGACTGGACTCCAGTGGACTGGGCATTCTGCCAGCCAATCTGGCCTGGTAAGAGGGCCACTGGAATCCACTGGAGTCCACTGGAGTCCACTGGAGTCCATATGGATTACGTGGGGGAGGGTAAAGACCTCACAGCGTTGCCTACCTTGAATGTGCCACCGTCTTCATTGGATACTTCGAGAGGCTCATCTACTGCATCGCTAGCTTCAAGAATATCAGCTACGGTTGAGCTACAGTCCAATTGGCCACCTCCCACTCCCACATGACCGACCCTCATGTCTCAAATGACAGACCAGCTATCAGCAAGGTTGACTGATCCGGCTCCCCCAGCTGCACTGGCTGTGAGGTTGACTACTCCAGATTGGCTGACGCTCGCCGATCATCTCAAAACCGCGGACCCCATGGTGGTTGACCACTCTCCCTACCTTGGCTCAGCTGCGCTAGCTGACTTCAGTACTGAGTCACTACATCCAGCAACAGCCCCAGGAAGTTCGTCTTATCATCAGGCACCCATGGATGAAGATCCTACCGATCAGGGAGATGACGGGGAAGAAGATTACAAGTGAACGAAGAGGGGGCAGTGTAGCGGTCAGAAGATTTAAGGGTACCGAAAGCGCAATGAGGAACGTGAAGAGCGGAAATGTCGGCGATGCCGTTGGTAGGAGGACTCTCTCATCATGGACGATGCTCCAATTTCACAGGGGGGGTTTTGTGATAACGTGGTAGTTACCTTCCTTACCTTGCGTGACATGGGACCACCGTATTTACATACATTTTGTATCTTGTTATAATGTGTTACAGTAGCCAAATAAACCACTTGCAACTTCCACCTTAAACTTAGATGTGGAGCAGGTCACTCATATTGTCTATGGCTAGGCAGCCTCACGCCTCCCCTCTGGGATACCAGAGCCCTACGTCGGGTGACCACGTCCCTCGTCCTGGGTCACTGGATCACAAAGGTGCGGCTACGATATCCGTGTCCGCGCCACGTGCACTATCACACGTACCTCGTCTCTTCTCCGCAACCGTCTCTCGTCTATGCCTTCGTCAAGAGGTCAAGAACAACTGCCCGGTTTCACACTAACTTGAATAACACGTTGTGGGCAATGCAAAGTCAAACATCATAACCATGTGATTTACGTTGAACGACGCGTCACAGACAAATCTACCACTGTTTGAACTTTGATCTAAGTTGAATAACAGTGAATAATGTGTCATGGGCAACAAATCCACTGTTGTTTGATTTACATCGAATTACGCATCGCGAAGTTGAACCACTATGTCATGTATGTCATGTGCACAAGCCACCAGGTGACGACAACGACATACACCAAGAATATAAATATATATGTACACAAAATATTTTCTTTACATCACAAGATTGTAAGTAGGGCGCTCTCCCTGACACGACGACGAACTTTGGGACCATGACCAAAGAACAAGACAAAAGTTCAAAAAAGAGTCCAAAAAAGATACGACGTAAATAAAGTTATGGATGAAGACTAACACCTATGCTTCCTTGATGGTTTCACGGGCGCGGCTTGAGAAGAATGAGTGGCTTGCGAAGAATCCGTGGCTTGTGAAGCACCTGTGGCTTGTGAAGAACTAAACAAAAACATTAGTGCAGACAATCCCTGAACAAAACCCAATGTACCAGGTGCCTAAAAGGAGGTCTTAGCAGTGCCCCCCCTATTCCTGCAGGAATCTGGTCATTCTGGTGGAATTCCGGTGGATTCCGGAATGTACACCAGAATGTTCCCTGGAATGGTCTTCCCCGGAATGGGCAGGAATGGTGTTCCCCAGAGTGGGCAGGAATGGGATTCCAGTCCAATCTGTTTATTTTATTTATTTGTTACTGTATTATAGTTTACTGCTCGTCACAACCGCCAACGCCACGCCATCACCGTCACCCATAGCCACCACCGCCAACGTCGCTCCTCAATCACCCATGGCCACCACGACCACCAACATCGACCACGACACCCTTCAACAACAATGCAGCGACGCCACGTCACGAAACAACAAGTGCCGTAACCCACGAAAACACCCAACGCCCATGAAAACAACACCCCCAGACACAAAACGACACCCGACGGGCACAAAACGACACCCACCACCCACGTACACCACCAGCACCCACGAAAACCATACCCTGCCCACGAAAACATCCCACCACCCACCGAAAAACACAAGCGCCCAGCGAAAAACACGTGCCGCCCACTGAAAAACATGCACCGCCCACACAACACACAATGGCACCACACCGCCTACCAAAACCACCATGTCCACACCAATGCCACCCACGACGATGCCCCCAACGGCAACCAGCACCCACGACGACGGCGACAACAACTCCCATGAATAACGCAAAAATGCGGACACACGACGAAAACGCGAACACGCAACAAGAAAACGACAACGAAATGCGACACAATGATGGGACGCCAACACGGGACGACGATGGCCGAGGTCCCAGCCACACTCCCTCTCCCCTCCACCATTCCCTTCCTCCTTCCCCCTTTCCTTGTCCCTCCCCCT